AAACATATGATTTTACGGTCGTAAACTCATGTTAGTCCATTTCTTTTGTGCTTTGGTGGTTCTAGGCTATGTAGGCAAGGTTCTAGTCACTTATATGAGCATAGGAAGGTGTTAAAGGCACTTAAACACCTTGGAAAGGTGTTTACGGTTTTGGGAGACCTTCCCAAACCGTAAACTCACGTGTTGCTCATTTGGGCATGTTTTGGTGCATCACATGAAGGAATACAAGGCTCTAGGCACTCATGGAAGCTTTTGGAGGTGTTTGAGGGGTAGTTTAACACCCAAAAAGGTGTTTATGGTCCTTAAAGATGGGTTTACGGTCCAATGATGTTCTTGGGCCGTAAACTCATGTTTACTCCCCATATGTTAAGATTTTGGTGTTCTAAGCTCATATGTGCAAGTCCACAAGTCATATCTAAGCCCTAGGAGTGATTTAGAAGGGTTTTGGGGCTTCAAAACCCCACTTATGGGTGTTTACGGTCCAAGAGTGTTCTTGGGCCGTAAACACATGATTTTGCCACTTTTGGATGTCTTAAACACGAATTTGCATGTTAAATGAGCTAAACAACAAGTTAGGGTAGGTCACTTACTAGTTTGGGGCTTGAAAGAGGCGATTTTTGACCAAACCCAATTTGTAGAGAGAGCAAGTAGAGAGAGGAGGTGTCTAAGGTTTGAAAAAGGTTGGGATAAAACCCACTCAACCCTTATATAGGGTTGAGTTTACAGCCTGGGTGGGGGTCCACCCAACACCTACCACAAACGAGGTTTTTCGCGACTTCTGTTAAACACGGCAAATTTTAATTTATACCTCCTTATTTTTGGTTCGCTTGACGAATATTATTTAAAATATTCCAACGGGTTTAAATCCGGTCAAAAATATTTTGGGATAAATTTGGCTAATTTTTTACGTGCTTAATTACGACGTTAAAACTAACGGAAATTTTTGGGTTGTCACAGAGGAGACGGTGGGGATAGACCACCACACGGGGGAGCACGCAGTGTACCATCGGGTTTCCAGTCTTGTAAGTTACATGAAATTTTTAAGTATTAGATATATTAAAGTTATAAATTTATAAATTTTCAATTCTATATGTAAATGTAGCAATAGCAAAGAATGCAAATGTGAAGAAGCGTGGCAAAGGGAGAAACTTAAATTTGTACGATGAGTTTGAAAACAAGTGTAACCCTTTGGATTTGGATATTGATATCTCCGGGCGGACGTACCGATTTGTGGGGGACAACGGGCAAATGTTTGTCAGACTGATCTCAAATCTGGTGGGATCAAAGGTATCGTTGCATTATCATACTTGGCGTCGTGTTCCTATTGATTACAAAAATGATTTATATCCCGTGCTAGAGGTAAGTATACAATATATTTTATATGTATTGAATTTTACACTTATTAATTATTTTTTTACTAATCAAATATGTTTTTCCTTTTGCAGACTTATTTTGATATTAATAGGTACCAGGGCACAGACTTGTGGGAACCCCTTCGAGCGGGTATCCAAGCAGACATGCAAAGAGCTTATCGAGACCGCAAGCATGATATGAAAAACCATTTTGATAGATTTGGTGGATATCATGACGTGGAAAGGGCAAGAAGATGTCCAAAGACTGATTGGTCCGCCGAAGCTTGGAACAAAATGATTGATTTGTTATTTTTGACCAATGAATACAGACGCACGTCAGACAAAAATAAAATTTGTAGGTCGAAACTTCCGCACACAAGTGCTCACGGATGTAGACCCTATGCTCAACGAAGTTATTTAAAGGCAATAAAATATTATAGTATTAGTTAAAAGTGTTATTAACATTTATATAAATATATTTATTGATTTCATTTATTATAGGAAAAAATGGGAATGAAGCTGCAACATATTGAAGGTTGGAGACAAATGCGCTACAAAGAAGGTTCGGGTTGGTGTACAAGTCGAACGCAAGAAGATTGGGTAAGTGATAAACGAAATGAATGTGTTGTTTAAATATATTATTATTATTAATTATAGTTTTTGTTTATTATTTTAATGTTTAAGTTTAGTTGTTTGTTTTAATTAACGTATGTTTATTGTTTTCTTTATTTTAGGACAAAATTCGAGAAGAATATGAGAAAATGCAAAGCAAGGTTGGGGTAGGTGGAATAGTAGACGAGGAAGAATGTTTAGAACGTGCCCTTGGGACGGATGCGGGCATGCTCGCGGGGTGGGTAGGAGACCAACCGCCAACTTCGGTTTAATGCCAAATGAACGATGTTCCACTTCAAAATCGTCCCAATCTCAACCCCAATCTTAATCCCAATCTCAATCCCAATTTGATGCACAAAAAATGCAAGAATACTTTCAACAATATAATGCATCATTGGCTGCATGTATTTCGGGCTTTCAACCACTTCCATTTCCTAACTTTCTATTCAACTCTAACACACAAGCAAGTACCTCTCAACAAGTTTCTGAAAGGATGGAAGAACAAGGAGGAGAAGGAGAACGAGAAGAAGAAGAAGAAGAAGAAGAAGAAGAAGAAGAAGAAGAAGAAGAAGAAGAAGAAGAAGAAGGATATGATTATGATAATGATGTTTGATGTTTTTTTAGTGATTTGAACAATGTTAGTTAACTACTAGACTTGAATTTGATTAAGTAATATATGTTGGAATGTGCTTTGGATTTGTTAAAAATGCAGGAATGATAATGTACTAAATTTGTAAAATAGAAAGAAAAAAAAACAAACAAACAAACAAACAGTAACTATCCTGACGACATGTCGTCGCTATAGGTATGTCATTGGCTCCTGTTAAAACCCTATCGTGACGACTTGTTATCGTAATTGTGGCGACAACATGTCATCGCTAACGGTTTGCCGACGACAAGTCGTCGCTATAGGTAATTAATAAAACTTTATTTTTTAACCCCGGAAATATGATTGACAAACTTTATCCCGACGACAAGTCGTCGGAATAAGTGACGCTATCGCGACGACATCTGTACCGACGACTCTATTGACCTATGCCGACACGACTACGCCAACGACTCTATACCGACGACAAGTCGTCGGGATAGGGTCCGAAATTGCCGTCACCATAGGGTTTTATTGTTGTAGTGTATCAACAAAGTAATCTTGGGTTATACGCATTTCGACAGCTTCACAATCTCTCCCCACAAGAGTTGTCGAATTGGTGCACAAGTTTGAACTTGCAGTATCCTGAAGTAGCGTTTGTGCAGTTCAAGCAAGTGCTGGCAAAAATTGAATATTATTATTTTCATATTCGGATGAAGATGACAAAAGATTATTTTGGTTCCATAGCATATTTGATGGGTACATGATCATCAAAACTAGTTAGAGGACAAATCTATTGAATTTGAGAGAGTTTGAATGGAATTGGAGAGGGTTAAAATGGAATTTGAAAGAATTTGAATGCAATTTGAAAGAATGTATGGTTTTTTGGAATGGCAGAAAGTTGTTATATAGATAATAAAAAATAAATAAATAGATAGATAATTTGAATTTGTAGTTGTTGTACAGTTAAAGAGAAGAGAAGTGGGAAATATTGAATGACTTACCAAACCCTTGCATTCCTCATTTTTACGTTACTAACGATTGGCGGAATGTTGTAGCCGGCACTACCGCAGATGACCCAAGCTCCACCCTTCGATTGGGAGGAGTGGTCTTGCTAAAACAACTCGTTATTCTCGCTGCAAGTTGATGAAAACCACTCGCTAGGGGGGATTGGTAAGGAAAAGGCGTTGCCATTGTAGCGAGGGGAGAGAGAGTCCAAAGGCCTGCTATGATTGGTGGATTGCATTGACCAAATTCAAAGTTTGTGGAAGACGTCAATTCCAACTACTTTATTTCATATATTTTCTATTTATTTGCAAATTACTTTCTCATTTATTTTTACCGGGCTTAGTTTATTTAATATGCTTTTATAAAGAATTCAATTACAACCATCTTTCTCATTTACTTTTACATTTAACTTTCAACAACTCCCTCATTTATATACATTTTCATTATAAAAATTCAAAATTTTGAATTACAATTCAATACTATAACTGTTTGTGGTTTAAAAAAATAAAATGTGTTTAATATTTATGCATAAAAAATGTTTGTGTATTAAAATAAATTAATTTAATTAAACTAGAAAAAAAAAATGCTAAGAATATTAGCACTCCTTACCAAATGTTAAGATTAGATATTAAATGGAAAAAAATGATATGGTAATCAAAAAGCTGACATGACAAGATATTAAAAGTGTTATCACTCCTTTTAACTTTAAGGCCATCTTTTTAGCTTGTCCCTAATTACCTAGATTTTTATGTTTTCATTCGAACCTCTTTAAAAAGTTGATCGCATGAGAATCTAAGATCTTCTACATATAAACATTATTTCATGTTTCAAATTTAATATAGAATAGACATAATTTTGAAAATTGAATATTTTGTAGAATATGCCACATATAATTAACATCCTTCTCGTGATATGCATACATGAATTAATTATTAAAAATATATAATTTATATTGTTCTTTTCAGAGATGTGTTTCTCTAAAATTGCGTAGCATATTCTATGTCAATTTGTTTGTTTTCATAACCCAAAATAAATATGCCCACACTCATATCAACGTTGAGTCGCAATACAACAACATGGATCAAGCCAGTAGGTCTAGAAATAGAAATAATTAAAACTGTATGTAGTATTCTAAATTTTGTGTTCAAAGTCATAGGAAGTAACTCGACTCCGGTACTCTCAAAGTCCACTGAACATTAAAGGGATATGTGGCCGACATGTTTTAACGAAAGTCAGTAGTAGTTGCTTCGTATCTTTCAAGTGATCCATCACATCCTTGACTTTCATTGTATGTATGATGGAAGTTTGATGGGTGGGATGATCAAATATAGATCAAAGAAACATGAAATTTTTATTGTTATTTAAATTCGTTCATAACCCTGGACGCAACATACCTTCATTTTTCTCAAGACAAACTGCGTCTCCAATTCCAGATTAGTGCTATGGAGAAAACCTGGTACAGACAGTTCCTTTCCCTTAGAAGGAACATAATCATGGATCCCAACTTACTAAATAATTATCACCAATTCCAGCTACTTAAGGCGTCTTGCCCAAATATAACAGCTGGTTACTTATCATCCTTGTGGAATCTAATATACCAGTCACATCAGCAGAACCAGTACAGCAAACCTATGCCATGGATTGGGATGTATATCGCATTAGCATCTCTGATTTGCATCCTTGCAATGGTGGCTGATCTTTTACATGGTCTGAGGAACAGAAAGCTATGGTTTCCGTGTAAATATTTCACTCTGAATGCAGCTTCTCTCACTGTGATAGCTGTTGCAATAAAGCTACCCATGGATCTAACTAATCTAACGCCAGGATATATCGACCAGGGTGCAAAGCTTGGAAGCTTGGGCTTTATGTGCACCATGATGGCTAATTTATTGCCATCTCTAGCAACCATGGACAGCAAGGAACTTTGCTCAAACATGATAGCTTTAGGTATTCTGGTAATCACCTTGGTTGTCAATGTTTGCATTCAAATATACACGGGAGTTCTCTTCTATTCTGTAGATGATGCCAAGCTCCTTGACAGTGAAATACCGTTTATTTTAAGAGTTATTGTTGTGGCCATCTTTGTGGTTCCGATGCTCATGTTGCTGATAATATATGCATGTTCATCTTTAGCAATTCTCAAGTCCAAAGAGATTCTAGAATCCAAATACCAAGCAGCTCATGAAACAAATTTAAAGAATCAAGAGTTGCAGCAACCAGGAAGATTATTAACTGTTGAGAAGCTAAAGCAACATGTGAGCAACTACTGGATCATGGCAGGAACTGGAAGCCCCCAGTTCATGATCGCTTGCTCAACTACAACCTCTGCTTCAGGGGTAATATGTGTTTTAAGCAATGGCATAATTATATATCTCTTGAGTTCCCTTTTTCAAAACCTAGGAGACCACAATTCAGATTATAAGTGGTCAATGTTGGTGATTTTTACAATACAATCTATCGGAACCATATTGGGTACAATTGCCCCACTTGCCAGGTGTTTTGCAGCCTTAAGCTTTAAGTTGTCACTTAAATGGATTTGGAATCATGTCAAGGTCTCTAAAGTGGAGAGCTACTGGACTCAGAAGTTGTATGATTGGAAACAGAGTAGCCTACCATTCCCATCCAGTAGCCGCAAATGCAAGATTCTCATCCAGCTTTTGAAAATCCTAAGTCTCAGCATTTGTATAGGATTCCAGAAGACGGTCGTGGTAGCATGCAAGATGATAGCAGTGATTCCAATTCTGATAGCCGTGATTCCGATTTTCTTTGTGATATGTTTCGTGTATTGTTTCCGTTGTTTGAAGTGGTTAAAGGCCATGTTTAGGGCCACAAGGACTGTCTTTGGACAAAATCCCGTGCATCTAGGGAAAGATGAAGATCTAAGCCGGTATGTTTTGCAACTTCAAGACGACATAGAGTATGCTGAGAGAACACTGAAAGGCATGTTAAAATCTGTGAATCGCTTGATCAAAAAGGCGGAACAACAACCACCCAAGAACCTTATGAAGCTTCTAGTGGAATCTAGAGGTTTTGAAGGAGTTGAAAAGATTGACAGCCATCTTGTCTCGCCTTTACTTTCAGAAGAATATCTCAATTGTTGGAGTTTGCCATTGGTAACTCTGACATCCATCGTCATGTCTCTTCCGAACATTCAAAAGAACAAAGTTGATTGCTTGGTGAGTGGTGTGAGTGAAGGTCTTGTATATGTCAAACTTGTGGAAGAAACCCTCAATGCTACTGATAATCATGTAAGAATTCAAAAGGCAGCTAAAACTTTGTGGGTAGAAGTTGAAGTATACCACAAATGGTTAGGACACAAGCTGCCAAAACCTAAGCCTAGAGTAAATACACCTGGGCATATTCTTCAATGGTTAAGGAATACAGCCAAGAACATGGTCATCAAGGTAGAAAGTATGGATATCCAAGGCCGAAAGGATAATTCAAAATACAGTTCTATTTGTGCCAATTCAATGTATCGTATCAGTGAAACAATCTTGCTCTCCTACCATGAGAACATTGAGGAAGTTAGCCAAGAGGAACTATTTGCACAGTTATCATCAATGATCGCAGATATATTAGCTGCTTGTCTCACCAACTTACCCCAAGTCATTATAAGGAAATGCCACACAAGTGCCATAGAGAAAAGGGAGGCGAGTGTCCAAGCTGCTGCCCAACTTCTTGGTGAGACTACACAGATAATCAACAGCCTTCAAGATCGTGAACTTCCAAGCTTGAATCCAAATGACTTGGCTTTTATTGATAAATGGCATTCTTACTTAAAGCACCCTTTTCCTTGACAAGCATTTATGTTCTGCAACCAGACGTCCAGACAAGTTCATAAAGATTTGTCATAAATTTTAGTACTTAATATGTAGATTTTGTCCATGTTTATTTGCTTTCCTATGTTAGTTTATGAGCCTCCTTTCATACTTGTTTTGAGTCTGTGTTTGTCATGGGGTTTCAAAGTCATTGGGACCCTTGCTCAAACAAATTTTAAATCTGGTGTTATAAAATGTTAATAACTTATTGCACATAAAATTAAATTCATATAAGTTTTTCTAATGGTCCTTTTTCACTCAACATATATACTCTCCATTTCTCCTAAGCATTAAGTGGATGTATTTGTTTGTTGACGATGGTTTGATGAAAAAATTATTAAAGCGTCTAATATGGAGGTTTTTTGAGATGGTAATTATTTAGAATCAATCTCATAAAATGTTTCTTACTATTAGATGGTAGCTTTTGGGGTCAATATATATTATGAACAATTTTATTCCATTAAATGTTTTTTCCTTTATTTTGAGTTTTGTGTTCTGTATTAATCTCTAATATTCGATAATGATCCATTTTAATTCATTAACTATATTTTTAGAGCTTTATTATTTTTGACTAATTAGTATGTTTTATTTTAACGAGGCATCAGCCTATCAAACTCTTTCGGCTAACGACAATCCACCACACAAAGAAACGGTGAGTGAAAAAGACACTTATTTAATAGTCACTTTATAGGTCGTTTCCTTAATTCGATTAATGATCATTAATTAAACATATGAGGACACATGTTGTATTATTTTCTTTTAAATATAGTAATCATATTACATATATAAATTCATATTCCTTTATAAAATTTTATAGTTATATGTGAGGTGAGTTTTAAATAATATAAAATTATATGAATTATCTTTAATTAATTTTAAATGATTATTTATAACTAATAAGATTCTTTAGGCATATTTATCTTTCAGTTTAATTATCCAATTTTAAAAGATTAAAATAATATTTAAAACTAAAGATAAACCCTAAAATCAAAATTATAGCAAAAAATCCTGAAACGTGAAAATTGGCGACAGGCGCACGGTGTCTAAATCTAGGTGTCCACCAATACTTCCACCTCCCGCCTCTATCAGTGTCGTGAGTTCCTCCATTACCAGATGAAATTGATTTTCTTTTTTCTCAAAATTTTATTTTTTTAGATTCTATCGATTTTATTGCTTCTTTTCTCATCCGTTGTGAAATCCATTGATTATTTGAAATCGACGTTGAAGGATTCAGAATCGGAAGTCACAGGTTAATCAAATCGTTAAGAGTTTCAGTCTCAATATTGAAATCGATTTGGAAGTTCTGGAATCGGAATTTGAAAACGGTAATCATTCAGAAGCAAAAACGAAACTGAAATTGGAATCGGAGCTTGCAAGCATTCGGTGATGTAGGCTCGTATGTTACAAGCGATTCACATTCAGAGTTTTGGAATCAGAACTTAAAATCCTTCGAATCAAAATCGGAGATATGCGTTTGGTGTTCAAGGCTCGGGTTTTTCGTCTCACAATCAATTTTTGAATCTCAAAATTGAAATCGCTTTGAAATTCATAAACGATTCGAAATCAGAACAATCTCATCGAATCGTTCAGAATTTGGATGTCATCGGAACGCTGGGCAGTGTTGATTCGATGGCAAACTTGATTTTGACTTTTACAAGTCAACTACGTGTTTTATCAGATTAAATGAAGAAGATGACTTCATTTACAATTTCAGCCCTCGGAAGTTACAAAGATTGACAGAATTATCCCTGTTTCTAAATCCTTTACTAATCCATGGTTTTAACCATTCAGGGCATCTCATGTTTACAATCAACGCCAACAACCAGATTTTGATCAAAACCGACAGTTCCGAACGCAAGGATATCTACCACAATATTATGGACAATTTTGGCCACTTATCTACTTTAATAAATGAAGGTTTTTTACCACGGTCCTCTTCTCCTTCATTTGAACATATGGTATTTTTTAAAAATTTTAAATTTTCTATTTTCTACTTGTCATTTTATTGTATTTTTCATTTTATTAAATTAAAATTCCACATTTAATATCTGTAAGGTAATATATATGTAAGGTATTTATTAGAAAATGGTTTATATATGTAATGTATCCAATACATTAAAGTCTCATTAATTTTAATAATTCAAAAAAATTCTCATTTTTCTTTTAAATTCAAACTTTTAAAATTGTTAAAATTTTATATTTAATTTTTTTTTTTAAATAAACTCATGTAATATATGGGTCTCACACCTAGTGGTTCTAATATAGGACTATGGTAAATGAGAGGAAGCAAAACCAGGACCTCCAGCTGGATGCGGTAATGAATGTTTTTGTAAAATTCTTCTACTTTCTTTTAGTTGGCATTGACATATTGGGAACGTTTGTGCTTGAAATTGGAATGATTTAGTGGTAACATTCTACTGTTACTTTTTTTGGAATGATTTTAGTGCTATCTTGCTAGTGTTAATTTTACATTCCAATATTCTATCTTTGACTTCAATTTCACCATTCTACTCATAAACTTTTTTTGCTATTAATTTTATTTTTCATTTTCATTGTCGACTATTTATTTTTTAGTTGTAATCTAAGTTTTGTATTATCTATGAAAAATGAATAGTATGAATATTTGTTTTTGAATCTCAAAATTGTAGATAGTTGGTTTGTTTATCAACCATAGTAAATGTAGTTTATTCAACATGATATAGGTTTTAATTGCTACCTTACCTCTTTGTTTATACAATTTAATTTTATTCTTTGAATTGCCTTGTACTTTGTTGTGGCAATTTATGAACTAACAACATCACATGGTTGAAGTTATTTGCTAATATATGTATTTCTTGAGATTTTACATAATTTTTTTATCCTCTAAATGTTCGATGAAATGTCTATAAAATCTCATCTCTTTCATTGTAGTTTTAGGATTACATTCTATTCTGTCATAATATATTCTGCCAGAATAAAATCTATGTATTCTAGTCATATTCTATGTATTCTACCAGAATATATAAACTGATAGTTAATTGCAAGTAACATGTTTTTAACCATTATTAGTTGTTGTTGTATTTGTGATAGGAATGGCTGGAAGAATGCATTGAAGACCTAATAGGAATAACTTGAAGAATGAATAACGTTTGATTATACTCACAATTTTAGAATGTTATTATTTTTTTAGAATTTTATTCATTTTTGTTGATATTCTTTTAGAATATGTATACTTATATTAAAATGTATAAGGCTTTTAATCTGTAAGAATATGTATGAATTTGTAGTTAAGTTCGGATGTATATTATAATGTTGTTATTTTTTAACCTCGGATTCAAGAATGTTGTTATTCTTCAATAATATTCTAATAGATTAAATTTTGAAAGAACATCATTCTAACAAAAAAATATTCTGGCAAAATAAAATCGGTTATGTATACAAATTACGTTAGAATTAAAATTGAATTAATTAAAAAAATTCAGATTTTTAAAATTAGGAGAATTAATTATCCATAAATATCCAAAAATTTCCTTTTATAAATGTAGTTAATTGTCAAAAATACCATTTTGCTAAAATTTGTTTGACGATATGGTACATGGTATCTTATTGTAATATCATACACCCTCAAATCATATACATTGATTACTTTCATCCGTTGGTCCAGATCTGTGCATTCTGACACACAATAGTTACTAAAAACAAAATAACCTAAGCCTATATATATATATATATATATATATATATATATATATATATATATATATATATATATATATATATATATATATATATAACTACGTTTAACTATTCTAACTGATTATTGTATGGATAGCGTATGATATGAAAATTACTAAAAGAATAAGTTGTTTAGTAATGCGAATACGTTCAACCTTACAAAAACATCGTTATTTTCATGCATTCTAGCTAATTTTTATTTGTTTTTGTTCTCACACATCGTTTTTCACTCATTTTCATTCTGACAGAATACGACTCAATAAACATTCTGACAGAAATTAAAATAATAATAATAAGTGTATAATAATAACCTTATAGACGATTTAATTAGTGAGAATGTGTGTTAATAACAATAGTTATGTAAGATTGTACGTATTCGCATTGTTAAACAACTTATTCTCTTAATAATTCTCATAGCATACGATATCTGCACAATAATTAGTTAGAATATATAACACTTAAGCCTCTCTCTCTCTCTCTCTCTCTCTCTCTCTCTCTCTCTCTCTCTATATATATATATATATATATATATATATATATATATATATATATATATATATATATATATATATATATATATATATATATATTCAGGTTCATTTGAGATCATTCTAATTTTGTGAGACCGTGAGACCAAATCTAAAAATAATTTTAAAATGCAAAATAAATGGAAAAATCCAAAAATTCTTTTTTTAAATATTATTTTCGGAACTTGAATTAACTAAAAAAAATATAAAAAAATATAAAAAAAAATTCCGTTTTTTTTTTTTTGAAAAATATGTGAAATATTCTAAATAGAATATTATACTGACATATTCTAAAAAATAATTTTAAAATGCAAAATAAATGGAAAAATCTAAAAATTCTTTTTTTAAATATTATTTTCGGAACTTGAATTAACTAAAAAAATAATAAATAAATAAATAAAAATTCTATTTTTTTTGAAAAATAAGTGAAATATTCTAAATAGAATATTACACTGTACATATTCTAAAGATAATTTTAAAATGCAAAATAAATGGAAAAATCAAAAAAAAAATTAAATATTATTTCTGGAACATAAATTAACTAAAAAAATAAAAAATAAAATAAAATAAAAAAATGTGTCTCACAGTCTCACAAAATATAGGTGGTCTCAAATGAACCTAACCCTATATATATATATATATATATATATATATATATATATATATATATATATAAGGATGTACGTGTATGTGTATGTTTGCCGTTTAAAAATAATATTAATTAATAAATTGTTTGCTGTAATAATTAATAAATTGTTTGTTTAAAACCTATCAGTCTTATCCAATTATTTAGTTATATTATTTCAATTATTTAGTTATATTATTTGACGACCGTATGTTATAATTTGCTTCCTTTGCATGCCGGTGGAAGATATTCATAAAAAATTGATTTGACAATGAGAAATTAAATATTATCTACATTTTATTTCTACTTATCTTCCTATCATATCAAATGTTCACATGTATCACATTTAATGACACATTTAATGAAATTGATAATATTGTAGTCTACTTATCACCATCTAATATGAATAGAAACAATGTTTTAAAAACCGGTTTTTTAATTGAACCGTTCGGGTAACGTTTTCCGTTTCAACCGGTTCAACCGGATGGTCAAACCGGTTCTATATTTTTATATGTTTTTAATTATCCTGAATACATTGATTAAAAAATGTCATCTTTTTAGTATTACAAACATAAATAGAATGCAACATATAAAAACAATGATTATAAAAACCAAAATCAAACAAAGAAACCCAAAATAAACACAAAAATTCAAGACTATCCGGTTCGATCCGGTCCATTTCGGTTCAATTCATCCGGTTGAACCGGTTTTTTACCAAAACCGGCCGGTTCAATCCGGTCAGTAAATCGTTATAAAACCGGTCCAAATTGAACCGTCATCACCTCCGGTTCCCGGTTCAACCGGCCAGTTAGAACCAGTTTTTAAAACACTGGACAGAAGAATAGTAGGAATAATATCAATATACCATTCATCATAATTAGAATAGATAGTGTAATGTTTTGGTTTCTTTTTAAACTTATAACTCATGTTTCTAACTTAATGACTAGTCCATATAGTTGGAGACTTTTTTTGAGTTGCATGTTTGTATTCACCAATGTTAGAAACTTGGACTCATAATGTTTAGAATTTTAAATCTTTTACAAAAGTGTTGTATTACCAGCCTACAAACGAACTTCTCAATCTTGACAACTTCAGTTTTTAATGCTACATTTTCATGAATAGATAAACATCCAAAATCATAACTATGATACATATACACAAACATAAATACATCAGAAACTTCATCAACTCTAACCAAATTCCCAAACATCTTTCTCAACCATTTATGCATATCTATCTATCTAAAAAATCAATCAGTTCAACTAAACCTGTTTTAGCTCCAAAATCCATGACACACATTCGACAAGCAGCTCAAACTTTTGGTGTACGCCAATGTTCAGGAAGACTTCCATCTTCTTCATGAAAACAGTGACTTCCTCTTTGAGACAAAAGGAGCCCGCACACCCACAATATTCTGCCAGGTGTGCAGCTTTGATTTGTTTGCATTTTAAACAGACCAAATCTTGAAGATGATAAAGTCTTTCTCTCTGGCGAACTATCTGAAGAAGAGCATTTTCCATGACTTCACGGTTGTAGGGTTGACCACACTGTGGGACCCCACATCTCCATTCTTGAGTTAGCAAGCCTCTGTCACGACATAAGTCTAGGTCTCTACAGTCGTTGCAGTAGCTGTAAATATTATATTTGTGGGCCCATGTCAGAAATATGATTAGAGTTTAGAAAATTTTGTATTTTTATTTTTACCTGCAAATGACATTTGGTAAAGTGAAGGAAAAGGAACAGTCTTGAAACTGTGCTTCTGGAGCAAACTCCCTTACACGTACATACTTCAACAGATTCTTCCTCATTATCTGCATTTTATTTCAAAAACAAAAAAATCAAAATCGAAATAGCAAATCAAAAAACATAAAGTAAATACAAAAGAATTAGTTATTACCAGAATATCATGCTGCACATTTTGGTCAAGAACAAGAACAGCACAAACATGCTTAATAAACTCAAGTGCAGGATCTCCTTTATAAACATTGTTTTCATCTTCCTTAGATTTCCCTTTTCCTTTCGTGTGAAGAACAAGATCACGAACTATTTTCAATAGTTTATCCGTGAAGTAAGAATTAACCTGTAACAAAAAAATGATTTCACAATTAAACCAAAACAAAATATCCGGATTTTGCAAGAATATATAAAAAAAAATTAATAATAATTTGTAATTCGAACCTGTTCCCTAAGATGTTCAGTGATGCATGACTCGAATGATTCAGCAGCAGCAGCTGTGATTGATGGAGTGCAGGAGTCACTGTTTCTTATAGCTGCTCTTTTCATGGTTTCATCTTGTGTAAACTTCCATGGGAGGTGCATGAACTCAGTGACTATAAAAACGAAATGATCCTGCAAAATAAAAAAGAATCTAACTGGTTTCAGATGACAATTATTTATGATAATACATGGA